TTATTCATTCTAAATATATAAAGGTATATTCAGAGATATACTATATTTTATCAATTCATATGTGTATATATATATATATATATATATATATACACGTATTTTTAATTGTCATACACTTCATTCACATTTTTTTTTTATAATATATTAAATTATATACTGTAATTATTTATCAATATGCATTAGTTTATGTCTGTATACTGTATACAGTATATATACATATAAACAATTATTACATACTATAATTTATCAATTTACTTCCATATACTCTATATATCTATTTGACGTCTGTCTGTCTTTTTCATTGTCTTGTATTGTGTTCTTCTCATAGGTGAGGTAAAGCGTATCGAGGTGAACAATCCCGCTCAGAACTCTGTGGTGGTTCAGGATCTTCTGCCCAACCATTCCTACATCTTCAAAGTGAAGGCCCAGAGTCGAGAGGGCTGGGGTCCTGAGAGAGAGGGAGTCATCACCATTGAGTCTGCTGTCGACCCCAAGAGTCCACTGAGCCCAATGCCAGGTGGAGCGCCTTCATACTTTAATTCTTATTTTTTATGGTACCAAAAGGGGGCACAGTAGCTATTACCAGCAATAGCAGTGGCATTATCCTGGTATTAATATTAAAACATTATTGTGTGTATTTTACTATTTACTAAAACATGTATATGTATGTATGTGTGTGTGCTGTCTTTCAGGATCTCCATTCACACTCAGCACTCCCAGCGCTCCAGGACCTTTGATCTTCACAGCTTTGAGTCCAGACACACTGCAGCTGAGCTGGGAGAAACCCCGCAAACCCAATGGGGACATCCTGGGCTATGTGGTTACCTGTGAACAGCTGCACGGTGGAGGTCAGATACCAACCTCTTTATTTTCTATTTGACATTTTTTATTTGACAATTGACATATCTGAACTTTGAATCCATATGAATGTCCAGAGTAGTCACAAATGTAATAATCAAAAACAAATCCTGTTCTTTAAGTCCGGGACACACCAAGCCGACTTCAAAGAACTAGCGGCGATGAAATCCGACAGTGTTGTCGCCTCGCGTCGGCGATGTCTGGACCAAAAAGCTGCGCTTGAACACACCGCTCAGACTACAGCCGACTGCAAACTAACACGTGCGTTCTGCACCTGCGTGAGAGGAATTAACTGTCTATAGCAGCAGCTATCAGTAGTATATATTCGTCATTTAAAAGGAGAAACTGGAACAAGGATATACGAGATATACACAGATATACGAAACGAAAAACAAAGCAACACTTGCTTACCGTTTTGAATACAAGTTATGTTGATAACTTTCTTCATTTTAAGCGCTCATGTTGTTATGAAAATATTCGCATATTGGAATCCCTTACAGAGACATCGCTCCCTCAGGTCTGAAGGCCTGATCATCATCTCGCGCACCATCTCCACCGCCCCAAACACTGGGTAAAGATCACTTAACATTAGAACAGCCTTCTGTTAGCGCTGCCTCGTTTTCATCACTTTCGCTTTAATTCTTAGTCACTGACTCATTCGGTAAACTGAGCATCCAATCAGAGTTCTCACTCTCGCTGATGGCCCAGACGCCGATTCAACATGTTGAATCATGCAAACAACAAGAGCCGACATGTGGAACACACCAAAAAAAAAACTATCCCGACAGACGCTTGCCGACGGTCGTCCATCGGCTTGGTGTATCCCGGCCTTTAGGTTCCCTGTTAAAACTCTGCGTTTGGTGTCCTTGCAGGAGATCTTCGCTCCTTCCAGGTGAATGGCAATGCTGCAACTTCTTTGACTGTGTCTGACCTGAAAGAAAACATGCCGTACAAATTCAAAGTTCAAGCCCAGACCACACAGGGCTTTGGACCGGAGCGAGAGGGCATCATCACCATCGAATCCCAAGATGGAGGTATGCAAGGCTTTACAACAGTGGCACAGATAGAGTGATATAACAGTGTTAATGCTTTAGGCCGCAAATGGCTGCAATATAACAAAGAGTGAAAAATTTAAGGGGGTCTGAATACTTTCCGTACCCACTGTATATATTTCACTGTTAAATGTTTAGTGTTTCAATAATATCATAGCCTACTTTTTATCATGCAATCAGATCACGACCGATGGAATCAAGTCTTGCCCTGTATTATTTCCTGTTGAATGTTATGTTTTTTTGAGGAAAATCACTGATGATAAATTTTTTGTTGGAACTTTTTCTTTTCTCGTCCTCCTCAGGCTCCATGTCACAGTACAACAGTCATTCAGTCACAAAGAGAGAGGTGTTCAACCTACCAACAGAGATTACTTCACACACCATGTTCTCAGAACCTTTCGTGTCTCCAGGTACCAACACACATTATATATCTTCCAGGGCTGGGCAAAATTCACAGTTGAAGAATTTGTTCCATTTCTATGAATGAGTTAGAATTTAAGTTAAACTGGCCCCACCTGATGTTTTAACCCACAAAAATAATTACATAATTCATTTAGACTAAATATGCTTATTTTGTAATATGTAAAATATTTTTTTCTCAAATTACATTTTTTCTAAACTTAGACAAATTACAGTAATTTGCGAACAAATGAACAGTCATCAAAAACAACAAAATATTGAAATTAACAAAGTTTTACTACAATTTTTATTAAATGTAATTAAAAATGAGTTATTTTATAATATTTAATATAAACTTACAAAACAATTCATTTGGGTTATTAGGCTTATGTTGTGATATGTAAAATACATACATTCTTATCAAATAAAAAAAATCTATAATTAAGTAGAAGATTATAAAACATCAAAAGGTTTTAATTTTGCAATGCGATTTTCCACTAAATGTTCACCACATTGTCTACAGAAAACAAATATTAAAATGATCACTTAAACCTGTTGATTTTCATTTATGTTTGAGTGTTTTCTAGTAAAATAGACCACAGTGGAAATTTTTACTAATATCATTATAAAATATTAAATACAGTTTATTAAATTAAATACAGATTTCTGTTGGTGGTATATCAATCATCTAACTTTTCTGGAAATACCATATGTTGTGTATGATAAAGTTATACAAAAAGTTATTAAAAACTTAAAAGCAGTTGATACTAATTCCAATTTGTTTTTTTTATTATTATTTAAATTCTAGATAAAAGACTATATTGTTATATAAATATGTTTCTAACTTTCTAACTGTCTGATGTGTGTTTTTTCTAGAAGGTATGATGATGATGTCGAGCAGACAGATCACAGAGTCGGGCGGCACCATCACGCGGCAGGTGGAGATGGTGCAGAGAGGAGTGATGTCCAGCAGCACCGTTACTAAGAAGGTGGAGAGACAGTACTTTGAGGCCTAATCTAACTTCCTTTTGCCTTCAGCTGAAGTCACACGGCAGAGCAGCAGTATAAACATACGCTCTAGTCAAACTAGAAAAGTTCACAGACCAATGTGCACAATATATGGTGTTTATGTGAACATGAGAACAGCTGAGTTCTTGGATTCCTCGGATTATTGCTCATAAAGACCAAAGTCTTCAAGCCTTGATATTTTGTTGAATGTAAAGACTTAAAACCTTTTAGTGTTATCTTATCACTTCCAAAAAGGTATTTGTTAAAACTTTTGGCCATGTTTCATGTAGTGTTTGCGAGAAATGTTATGGATGTTTACGGTTATGTTGCTCAATTGAGCTTAACTGCATTCATTTTGATGAGGTTTGAATTTGGCAGGTTTCATATCATGATGTTTATATTATTGATGTTGCTTTCAAATTTCAAGATGTATCAAGTTTTTTGAGCATGTAGGTTTTTTAAATGCATTTTCACATCAAATATGCCATGTCTCTTGATTTAGAGTGTATACTTCAACTCATTAGTATTTTTCCTCCTAAATCAACTTTTTTTTTACTTGTTAAGGGTTGCATAAAATGTTGCAACACATGAGTGCACACATATGGACTCGATTCTTAGGATTGTAAATATGTTACTGAGGTTTTTTTTTTTTATTGCCTGGTTGCAAGATGTGCTGTTGTAACTTCAGGCCTGTGGCTGTATTTCAGATGACATATAAAGTCTGCTAGGTTTGTACACTACTGGCAATATGGAAAAGATTACCAATCTGACACCAATGTAATTACATTTTTACTGCCTTCAATAATTTGTATGGTACTTTTGTCTTGGGAACAAATATCTTTTTTAGAGTTTTATATTAAAATTGCATTTCACCATCATATTCAAGCCGTAGTATGCAAAACGCCTCACTGCATATTAGTTCACCTTACCAATAAATCATCCTACCACAGTCGACCCTTCGTGTGTCAGCTTTGTTTATTAGAAACAGATTTAGGTGCAATCAGTTTTTTTTAGCTCACTGAAATGAGCTACTGAAATGCTTTACATTGATTGGAGGAGAATGTACTGACAATGCCCTCTATATGCTTTCATATGTTACTGACAAACAAACAAACATGGAGTTGAATGTGATTATATCCAACACTTGCTAAAACTGGGAAAATAGTGCATTCAGGTCAGCAAAACAATATTTCAGTTTTAGGCCTTGGATTTGGCTAATTATAATCTTATTTTATTTTAAAAAACAATGGAAATTGACATTATATGGGTAACGAAAAAAGAATCACAATTCAGTATGCAAATAATTTAGAAATATTACAATGACGTAATCGTTGTCGCTTTCATTTTAACATTCTAGCAAATGTGAGTCAGTAGGAGACTTTCCAAGTAAAATTTCTTAAAAAATCAAAACAAAAAATAAATTGTATACAAAAAGTCTGAATGGAAACGGTACATTAGGCTGAATTAATTGCAGAAAAAATTGTGACAAAAGCACTTAAGATATCTGCATTTTAACATGAAGATGAAGTCATGAACACATTCCCAACGCTCATGCATAAGTATGAGCAAACAAGCCCTTAGAATTTTTAAGCATCTTTTTTTGGTAGCTGCACAAAGAAAAGCATAGCTGAAGTATATGATTTTTTTCAATGTTAAAATCAATTCTATCCAAGATTAATATGCATAGACTACACCATTTGGAGGTTGATTTCTTCAACAAAAAAAAAGTGAAAACACTGCATGCCAACTGGTCTCGCACAGAAACAATTTTTCTGTCGAGGGAATCAGGGTCATGCTAACTTCAAAGTTGGTCTACAAAAATACGACTTCTATCTGGGACTATCTGTTTGTCTGACCAATCGCAGACTGTTTAACAACAGTATTTTTTACAATTCCTTTGTGCTGCTAGTGGTGCAGAAATCACAGCTTTAGCTACTCTTAAAAAAATGTAAAATTCCTTCTATGCACTTCTATTTTTTGTAAGCATTGATCAATTACTGTATGAATGTTTTATGGTGTTTGTAGTTTCTTCATATCCATGTGTGTGAGGATTGTGCGATCATTACGTACATTAGCAGAACAGGCATTGTCCCTTACAGAGACATCGCTCCCTCAGATCTGAAGGCCTGATCACCATCTCGCGCACCATCTCCACTGTCCCAAACACTGGGTAAAGATTCTCTGTGAACCTCTCGCTGTATGTGTAGATGTGCGCACGCTTCTGGGTGTCATAGAAGGACAGCTGCCCCTCCTCGTAGTCCAGATAGACCCCCACCCTCCGCGGGATGAGCGACTGGGGCAGGGGTGTGGGTGGTATGGTCAGGGCCTTGAGCTCGGAGCCCCGCTCCAGCCTGAGGGTGAGGTATCCGCTCTGAGTGTTGAGCGGTCTGTAGCCTTTGCAGAGAGCCGATTCTTTGGCCACCCCAAGACGCCAATCACGGTCACCCACTTCTACCTCCCAGTACCGGCGTCCCGACGAGAAGCCCTCAGAGCCGAGACAGCACCACCAGCCATCAAAGCGCCACAGGCTGCAGGGAACCTCACGCCGCTCCAGACCGCACTGCATGCGCTTGCAGTCCTCGGACAGAACCAGAGCAGGGTTGGCCGTCTCTGGGTCAAAAGTCACCTCCACTGTAAAACAGGGTAGCACTTCGTTAGATTTAAGTCTTTAGGTGTATCACAGAAGATTTTCAAGAAATTGAACAGTGTATATATATATATATATATATACACACAGTATATGTGAAAGAACTCTCTGAGGATCTGAAAAAAATTATTGTTGCTCTACATACAGATGGCGTAGGCTATAAGAAGATTGCCAAGACCTGTACAAGCTGTACACTCACTACTTTACATTGTAGCAAAGTGTCATTTCTTCAGTGTTGTCACATGAAAATA